AACCCCTACCCCCCCAAANNCCGAAATCCTAACCCCTAAACCCTAACCCCCTAAACCCCTAAACCCTAAACCCCTAAAGCCCTAAACCCTAAAGCCTAAACCCCTAAACCCCTAAACCCCTACCCCCCCAAACCCGAAAGCCCGCAAGCAAAGATCCGAAACTCAAGACCCCAAACTCAACGCCCTTCACGCGGTTCGAAGGCCCGCAATGCCCTGAGCCCTACACCTTCTACCTGGATCCCAAATAATCTGCCTTTTTGGGGCTCCTTATTATAATTTCTTTATTCTTTATATAAGTCCTTAAAGGGGTAGGTTCTTCTGGGTTAAGGTAAAGTCTAGACCCTCAGCCCTAAACCCGACGAGGAAGGCGATGATCTTATGTTTGAGATCATGGACTATGACCGGGGGAGTGTGGTCGGAGATCTCTTGTGCACCTGTGTCATCCCGAACAAGGACGGGGAGACTGAAGACTATACCTATATATATATATATATACATATACATATATATACATATATATATATATATGTTCATCTATATATATATATATATCTATCTATATATATATATATATAATGTTACATTCGCAGCGTTTCGCGATTTCGGGCTGGGGATGTTTTGAATCTGGCATCATTGCATGATGGTGAGGCTGACGGTTTCCTGCTGTCCTCTTCTAAGGCTCCCCTAAACCCTAAACCCTAAACCCGAGTTTAGGGCTCTGTCGGTCGAATCCGGCTCGGGGTTTGCAGGGTTTCGAGGATCGGCCGTCCTAAACCCTAAACCCCAAACGCCCCAAACCCTAAACCCTAAACCCTCAACCCTAAACCTAAACCCGAAAACCTAAACCCGATGGAATGAAGGCACGAAGTAAACCCGAAGCATCGCAGCTATTTTGATGGTCCCAGCCCTTCGGCCCCCAAAGCCCTAAACCCAAAACCCTAAACCCTCTGAGACCCAGTAACTGCCAGGTGTTTTTCGGCCTCAGATAGAATACCCATCATCGCACGCGTCTCTGGGGTCCCGACCTCCGAAGCCCTGGACCGTAGAGTTTAGGGTTGAGGGTTTAGGGAGGTGCTGCAGCAACTCCCTAAACCCTAAACCTTACCTGTGGCCCAAAAAACCCACCTTTTTAAGGACTTATATATAGAAACCAAAATAGGGAACCCTAAAAAGGTAAATTTTTTCGGCTACAGGTAAACCCTATGAACCATAAGCAGCCCTAAAACTCAAGCCGTAGGACCTAGAGCCCAACATCAAAGGTTCCTGCACTCTAGCAGCTTCCTGAACCCCTGAATTCTAGGTTTAGGTTTGAGGGTTTAGGGCTTTAGGGTTCCGAGTTTAGAGGTTTAAGGTTGAGGGTTTAGGGTCCAGGGTTTAGGGGTTTAGGGTTGAGGGTTTAGGGCTTTAGGGTATAGGGTTTTAGGATTTAGGGTTTTGGGGTTGAGGATTTAGGGTTTTGGGGTTTGGGTCCTGCTGCCACAGGAGTTCCATCGTCCTGGAGGCTTCGACGGCACTTGGCCGATGACGCTTTCTCCAGAGACGGCGAAGCTCAAAGGCGGTAATATAGGGGCCTTAATAACTAGAATAGGGTTTTGGGGCCCATTATGCTGTAATTACTATACTTATTATAAGGAACCCCCCCAAAATACCAGTATTGGTAATTATTTATGGTTGATATAAAGGCCTACATAATTACCTATACTATTTTGGGAGTTCCTTCTTATGATAATGGTACAATATACCCCAAAACTCTATTCTAACTAGTAGGCCTCTACATTATTTGGGTTGGGGGTTTGGGGATTAGGGAATGTAGGGTCTACATAGGTGTTGAGGGTTGAGGGTTTAGGGTGGGTATAGGATTTAGGGATTCAGGGTGTAGAGCTTGAAGTTTAGGCATGCTTAGGCTTTGGGGTGGGTTCAGGGTTTAGGGAGTTTTGGTGTTACAGGTTCAGGGTGGAGTTCCATGGGCTTCGGCTTAGGGCAGTATTTTAGACCCTGGCCTCACATCACGGACTCCAACTCCTCGAATTCTGATGAGGTGTTCGCCGGACATATTTCTTCCATGTGAGGTTTTTCCAGGTTTAGGGTTGGGGGCAACTATGAGAAGCCATGAGTGTAAGGGCCCACGAACCTGCGAATCTGCGGCTAACTGACAATCCTATACCCAAGCACCTTATCTTTCGGGCGCTTGAGCCGGATTTCTTATTCTGGTTTCCCTATATGGTTCCTTAAAGCGGCAGGTTTTTTGTGCCACCGATAGGGTAAGATGCACAAGCTCATGCCCAAAGCTCCGAAACCCACCCGCAGCTTGAAAGTCTACGCGCCAAGAAACTCAGGGCCTGCAGGAACCATGTATGGCCCACTGCATGTTCCCAACACCTTGGTTCCCTACATTTGAAGACCAGGCCCGAAAACCCTAAACCCAAACGTCCTAAACACTACAAGCCCTACGCCCTGCTATACAGCCCATAACCCTAAACCCTAAACCCTAAACCCTAAACCCTAAACCCTAAACCCTCCTATACACCCTGGCAGCATCCAGCCCTACTGTACACCCTAGAAGCCTTAAGCCCTACGATACACCCTGGAAGCGTTAAGTCCTGCTGTACACCCTATAAGCCCTAATGCCTACTATGCACCCACAAGCCCTAACCCTCAACCCTAAACCCTCATCCCCTAAACCCTAAGCCCCCAAACCCCTAAACCCTGAACCCCTGAACCCCTAAACTCTAAACCCTAAACCCCTAAACCCCTAAACCCCTTAACCTTATCAGCCCTGACCCTGAGACCCCGCAGGCTACAACCCAACGTTGCGGCTGAGAATTCAAGTCACGGCTTTTCCCGAGCCTCCACCGAGAACGACCATCCTCATCCGCTTTCTGACTGGATTAGACGGCTGGGTTTAGGGGTTTAGGGTATAGGGGTTTAGGGTGTAGGGTGTAGGGGTTTAGGGTGTAGGGGTTTGAGGTTTAGGGTCTAGGGTTTAAGCTGTAGGATTGATCATCGGGTTTTAGGGTTGACTATGCAATTTCTGTCTGGAGCATACGGCTTTAGGGTTTGAGCTGTAGGATTGATCATCGGGTTTTGGGGTTGACTATTCAGTTTAGGACTCAGTGTCTGGATGGTTCAGGGCTTATAGGGTGCCGGGTTTAGGATTGAGGGCATCTGAGCAGGAACATCGGAACAGCACGGATGCTTTTGAAAACTGCGTCATGGTCCAATGATGGAGAGGAGATCGGTTTAGGTCTTGCATGTGTGTTTTGATCATGTGGAGCAATTACTCGGACATGTTGGGTTACGGCCCTTTGGAAGCTTTCCGATGACGGAGCTCTTGGAAATCTCGTTGTCCATGTTCCTTAAATCAGGGCATGTGAATGTCAAACGTGGCATCCCAACTTCCCAACTGAAGCTCGACCCTAAACCCTAAACCCTAAACCGTGGTGGCTCCTGACGTCGGGCCACACGAACTTGTCACTCAAGGTTGCCCTGGCTTAATGTGGGGGCCTTAATACTCAGAATAAGGTTTTTTGTTTTGGGGGGGTTCCTTATTATAATCATAGTATAACATACCCCAAATCCTATTCTAATTAGCCTTAATACTTAGAATAGGTTTTTGGGGGTTCCATTTTTTATTATTATAGTATAATAAATAGACCCCAAACCCTATTCTAATTAGCCTTAATACTTAGAACAGGGTTTTAGGGGTTCCATATTACAATTATAGTATAATAAATACACCCCAAACCCTATTCCAATTATTAAGGCCCCTATATTACAGCCTCCCTAGCTTTTGTGTCGAAGCTTCAACCTTCATCTTGGCACTAAGCACAGAAATTATGCGAATTGAAACCCGGAATAATTAACTTTGAGCACCTAACGCCCCATTCTCTTAACCCAGAATCCAAGCTCTAACTCCTAGAAAGCCAAACGATCTTCGTCGTCTACATCCCCTGTCCGAAGAACAGTTGGGACCTAGGCTTGTCCTTGGCCGGATTCAATTTATGAAACTTAAGGCTTTTGAGGCATGAAACATAATTACTTCGGTACGGCGCCGGGTCCCCTTAACGAGCCTAAGCCAAAACTGCAGGAATGTAGCGCCTAAGCCCTAAACCCTAGTAGATAGATCTAGGCCTCCCTCCTCCAATCGTAACGTGCTAATGCTTGCCCTAATTCTCCATGTGCCCTTTAAAGGGATACTTTGCGGCTTCCTTTATAACGGTTTCTATAAGGGTATGCTGTGGGTTTAGGGTTTAAGGGTTCATGAACCCATATACTATCCGTCCATCCGTTATAGGAGCCCCGGTAAGCCCTAAGTATCTACTATGTGGGTACATGGAGCCTGCGACTTAGTTGTACAGTAGGTAGCCTCTAACTTTTTGGGATGCTACAAGCCCTTGACAGTCCCCCATGACACTGGACAAGAAGAAATATTGAGTCCCTACCAGAAGCAGTATATACATAGGTCTTACAGTACCTGAAGAGGAACCCCTGTTAAGGCCTATAAAAAAAATATATATATATATATAAGTATGCCATAAGGGTCGGGTTGACTCCTTTGGGGTTCCACGTTTATGGGCCCAAGATGTCCTCTCGAAAAGCTGCTGCGAACCTCAACATGGGCAATTTTACCTAGAGGCTCAGACCCTACCCCTTTTTGGGGGGGTACCTAGTTCTTTAGTTAGGACCTGTTATATAGAGTATGAAGTGACCTAAACAAGGGGTAGGGTATGAGCCTCCGCTCTTGACAAATTTGTGGTTTCAACGACGATTGGGTGTTGGAGCTAGGTCGGGAGTTTGGAAGTTGCGGTCCCGAGACCTAAGTCACAGCAGCCGCAATCCCGAATCCCCTAAGCCCCTAAGCCCTAAACCCTAAACCCCTAAACCCCTAAAGCCTAAACCCCTAACCCCTAAACCCAAAGCCCTAAACCCTAAACCCTTAACCCTAAACACCTAAACCCGAAGCCCTATAAACCCTGAGCTGAAGATCTCTTGCAGCCAAGGGCATGCAGATGGCCTGCCCCCGGCGGACGCCAACGGCAAATCGGACCCCGGGTGCTCCGAAAATCATACCAACGCAAAGCCGAAAGGGATGGAAGCCCTGAGTGTCGGGACCTTAAACCCTGAACCCTGCACCCTCAAACCCAAAACCCCTAAACCCTAGAGCCTAAACCCTAAACCCCTGAACCCTAAACCCTTAAACCCTAAACGCTATAAGCCTAAATTTCAAGACCTCTGGAGACTCTCGTAGTCTCCTCCTCCACCTGTCCTCAAAACCAAATCCCTGAGCCCAAAAGCTCCAAAGCCCCAATATAGGGGCCCTCAAGAATTACCTATATGATTTTGGGGGTTCCTTATTATGATTCTACCATAAAGGAGCCCGGAACCCTATCCTGTTCCTAAACCCTAAACCCTAAACCCTAAACGCTGGCCGAAACCCTATTCCAATTATTCAGGCCCCTATTTTATTCCCTGAGCCCAAAAGCTCGAAAGCCCTAAAGGCTCGGTCCTAAACCCGACATGCCCCAACCCACGTCCCCGGGGGTTTAGGGTTTAGGGTTTAGGGTTTAGGGGTTCCGGGAACTGATGGATTCCGCTACAAGGCTCCAAGCCTTACTTCACGAGCTTAGGCGTTGTGACAACCTCAGAACAATCCCAGACCTTGGGAGTATCAAAGACAATGGATAAGCATTTATATACTGACATGCTTAGATCGACTACTAGTAGACCCTAAACCCCTAAACCCCTAAACCCTAAACCCCTGATTACTATGTAAGCGTTAACGTGGTAAATCAATGTGGGATATGCTGAATTAAGCACCAGAAGCCCCAAAACCCTTCAGCACGTAAGCCCTGAGCCGTAACCCGAAACCCGGGCTTATAACCTTGGAAACCAGAGGGTCCATATCTCTATATATATATATATATATATATTTGTATATATATATATATAGTTTTACATATATATATAATATACATATAACTACATATGTATATATATATATATGTTACATTTTATGGAATTAGGTCTCAAAAGACCACGCTTATTGTGGTTTTGGGGGGCTTAATTCCATAATAGTCGTATATAATGGACCCTTAGGGTAAGCCCGACACCCGTAACCCAAAATTGCGCAGGATTGGTATGGGTTTTACACCATGAAACCCAGAACCTTCTCAGGAGCATGTTTTCCAATATTGCTTCTCAGAGACAGGGGTGTCCAGAGAGCCACCCCCTTGCACACCTCTCTCATCTACCTATAGTCTCCATTGTAGTTCCTTTTTGGGGATACCTTACAGAATCCTTAATAAATAATTGGTTAAACCAAAAAAAGGAACTACAATGGAGACTCTAGGTAAGCTGTACACCAGCCACCCTAAACCCCAAACCCAAAGCCCGCAAATTTCAGATCTTGAGCCCGAAACTGAAACGGCCCCTTCAGCTCTGACCCCTGCCTTGAACCGTAAACCTCTACAAGTAGCCGAAGAGACCGGCCTTCCCTGGTATGGTTTCTATATATTAGGGTTTAGGGTTTAGGGGTTTAGTTCCGTAGAAAGCGTAGTCTTTTGGGCCACAGGTAAGCCCCAGTAACTAGTACACCCCAACGCCTAAAGCCTAAACCCTAAACCGCAGTAACTAGTACACACCAATGCCTAAACCCTAAACCCTAAACCCCAAACCCCAATGCCTTACGTAAGCCCACATGCAGCAAGCCTGGAGGATCCCTTTTGTAGCGTGCAGCTGGTGGGGAAGCCCTTCTCCAGGCCTTCCAGCATTACCTTGAACTACCATAACCAATTTTTGTGTAGGTCCTTATTATAACCCTAATACAGAATGTATAGGGACCCTACAAAAAGGTAGGTTTTGGTAGTTTAAGGTAGTGATTTGGGTTTTCTGGGGTTCAGAGTTATAGTTCGGGCGCTGGGGCTCTAGCGGGGGGGTAGATATATAAGAGTTAAGGGTTGAAGGTTCTTGTAGCTTTTGTTGTTGCTTTTTCCTTGTGAGGGTTCGTGTCAGTTTCTTCGGGATGCCATAAGATTGTCGCAAGACATTCCCGAGTTGGCACAATACACAGGCTTGACCTGAAGAAGTGGAAATATTATGACATTACCCCAAACCCTATTCTAATGATTATGGCCATCTTACAACCCCCTTAAAAAGTCGTTTAACCAAGTAGACTATGACAAAAACATAACGCCCCTCGATGAGATGCTTATTTGCAGACAGCCTTCTTTCCTCTGTCAATGCCTCGGCCTTTCACAGCTGTGATAGCAAAATATTGCAAAGTAACACTGGCAAAAACACAGAATTAAGATGAAAGTCCTAGGCATACTAACAACAGCGAACCACATCTACAGCATCTGGTATTTACAGGCTTTACAAGAAGAGGGTCCTAAGAAGAGGGGCTTAGGCTTTGAGATGTCTAGGCCACACGGCCGTGGACCACCCACTGTCATCGACATCGCTTCATGCCGGCATGCACCCTAAACCCCAAGCCAAAGCCGCTTTAAATCCCGATAGAACAAACAAGCATCTAGCACACCAGGTCCTGCCCAGCTGACCTAAGAGCCCATGCTCGAAGTAGTCCTAGCTTTGCTGTTGGAAGACAAGCAGACCCACCTAGGATTTTTGCTTCTCGAAGGCTCGCCTGGTTATATATAAGGGGTTTTGAACATCCTCTTGCAGTGGTCGGGCAAGCCTCGAATGTCGACCACTCTTCAGGGTTTAGGGTGTAGGGCTTAGGGTTGTGCAGTTGCAGCCGCCCGCCAGGCAAACAAGCTAATCCACTTCAGGGTGTAATCACAAGTAGTTTCAGTAACTTGTACCTGGAACTGAAAGCAGCCGTAACCCGGCACATCGTAGTTAAAGTTCATATTGCTGTGCTTTAGGGTTCCTTCTCATATATTATTTTGCATCTAGTACAACCTACTCCGAAAACCTAACCAAACTCTAAACCCTAAACCCCAAAACCCTAAACCCTATTGAGGCCCCTTACACGTCCCAGAGCATGGGTAGGTCTTCGACCACCATTAAAGCCCGGACGCTGGATCCTGTTTGGAACGAGACACTCACAGACAAGCACCGCTACGACACCCGGCTGACTTAGGGTTTAGGGGGGCTTTTGGGGTTTAGGGTTTAGGGTAGGGGTTTAAGGTTTAGGGTTAAGGGAGTGGAGGATTTCGATGTGCCGTCCCCGAGGGGTCTGAAGCCCGAGCGTTTGATGTCTGAGTTCCCTAGACCCTACTGTAAACTGTAAACTCGGAACCCTCAACAACATGGACAAGTTTATGTTAGGATGATAATCGACTGGACCCCGTGGGTACGCTTTAAACTTTAAGCTTCATTGTTGCGTGATTGAGGCTTAGTGAGTCAGTGGCGAAGGTTTAGGGTCGACAACTTGGCTTTCAGGGTTCATCCTCTAACAGGTTTAGGGTTTAGGGTTTAGGGTTTAGGGTGGGTGTAGGGCTTTCAGTTTCGGGTTAAGGCTTTGAGGCATCGTGTGGCAACGTTGGAAAGTGTTGGCTGAGTAGCTGAATGACATTCGATTGCGTACATGTTAATTCCTAAGCATCGGCAGGTGTTCACCAGGGTGGTTGGGAAGTGAATAGGGTATAGGGTTTACTGTTTGGGGTTTAGGGTTTGCTGTTTAGGTTTTAGGGTTTGCTGTTTAGGGTTTAGGTTTTAAGGTTTAGGGAACCCCACTTTGGAGGGAGTCCTCTGCGGAGTCCTGAAGCCTGGGACTATGCACGTCCTGCGACAGGCATGGCCCTGAATAGTAAACCCTAAACCCTAAACCCTGAACAGTAGACCAAAAACCCTAAACCCTAATCAGTCAGCCCTAAACCCTAGACATTAGACCAAAAACCCTAAACCCTAATCCGTAAGCCCTCAACCCTAGACAGTAGACCCAAAACCCTAATCAGTAAGCCCTAAACCCTAGACAGTAGACCAAAACCCTAAACCCTAATCAGTAAATTCTAAACCCTGGACAGTAGACCAAAACCCTAAACAGTAGTCACCTAAACCCCAGACAGTAGACCAAAACCCTAAACCCTAATCAGTAAACCCTCAACCCTGAACAGCAAACCCTAAAAACCTATAGACCCGAAGACCTCAACCACTAACCCTAAGACCTACACCCCCAAAGCCTAAACCCTCAACCCTCAACCCCAAAGCCTAAACCCTCAACCCTCAACCCCCAAAGCCTAAACCCTAAACCCTAAACCCCCAAACTCAAAGCCCAAACCCTAAACCCCCAAGCCCCAAAGCCTAGACCCAAAGAAGACACCGCCACTCTCCCAGGAAGTTGGCGATGCGATCTCCTTCAAGGCACAGGGCTGTTTCCCACCTATCCCACCACTCGGCACGTTCTTGGATTTGTGGGGGCCGTGACGGTGTAGAATGTAGGTTTAGGGTTTAGAGTTTAGGGTTTTTCAATGTAGGTTTCAGGGTAATACATCCGAACCTAGATAATTTGAACAAGCATTTAATGGTTCTTGGTTCATACTCTCTGTGCAGACTTGGTTGCATGTCATCCTGTACGAACGGTTCGGGTTGCGGAGAGTTCGGGGTTTGAGGCATTTAGGGCGAACTTTGGTACAAGCATTGTCATACGACTGTACATCTGAGTAGTTTGCTGAAGACAAACTTCCCAACGGACGGCCATCACCCTGAAGATAAGTCGCAAGAAGCATTGAACCGAAGCCCCTTTCAAGAAGCCTTTCAGGTGCACATGTTCTGCTAAGGTCGTGCGAGCCGGTGCCCCACACGAGTTTATAAGGTTTGGGGTATAGGGGTTTGGGGTTTAGGGTTCAGGCAGGAGTGCCTGATAGATTGCCCCCCGCCCTCCCAGCACATGATCGTGTGTCTTTGAGCGGTTGTAATCCTCATGGATGTGTGAAGATGCAAGACAACGGGCGGTCACATATAGCCTTGAGTGAGATGCAAACAAAAGCAGATACATACATACATACATACAT